AATTCTGCGATTTTTTTTTGTTATTAAAGCCTATGGTCTATTCTAATTTTATCATAAATTCAGCTTCACTTAACTACTACACCGATCTGTTCAATTTCTTTTATTGCTCTGACCTGCATACTATGCAATTTTCTTTCTTTTTTAATCAAAAGCAATATGTTTTAATTGAAATTAGTGACTTTTATTAGCACCAATTAAGTACCCCAATCAACTGTAAAAGTAAAAGACACCTAAAGACGACTTTATTCCGTCCTTTGTGGTCAGTGTACCACTGAACTTGTTTACGTCTCCGTTTGGTTCTTCACATGTGATTTCGCAAGAGAATGAGCTAATATCTTCCTCGTTTTGCAAATGTGACGTACATTTTAGGCAGTGGCAAATCCTTGAATTAGTTTCACCATCTATGTTTGATGTTCCAATAAAACACTGTTTTTCTGCTTCACTTGATGACAAAAACAAAAGATCTGCAGGGAATAGCTCGTCCTTTTTCACTTTTAAGATGTCGCCGACAAACACCTGGTTTTTTGGTACCATTACGATTATAATTTGTTCTTACTTCTCGTTTTCTTTTATTATTGTATTATTAATTTTCAGAAGCAATAAAGTGGATATTTAGAAGTGGAAACTTATAAAACTAGCTCTTGCGCTGCTAGCGGAATAATATTAAATTTTTTTTTTCTCAGTCCAATTAGATAGTCATGTTAAACAGAGCATAAAGCAACCTCTTCCCACTTCAGATCAATCCACTTTCCATTCCTTAAAGCAGTTGTTCTGCTGCTGTTTACTTTCTTATCAGACCTTCTCCTCTTCTAAAGAAATAAGATGTAGTTTATAATACTTTGTTTTTTGTTTGGTTCCGTAAACTGAAATACTAACTTGATTGGTTAAGTAGGTTAGATAAAACTTGCCAGAACATTAACAACTGCTGTTATAAAATACATCTAAAACCTAAACATTATTATCCAGATGTAATCTTATTCTGCTATTTCTTATTTTTTAATTTGAGAATTCGCTTAAAAATTCAAAACTAGTTTTTGAAAAACTGTTGCTTGAAGATTTTTTGCAAAAGTGGTGGATAAGAAGTTTACACCGCGTTTAAAAAAAATGCGTTGTGTGACTTAAAGACAAAAAAATTATAATTTAATGTTAGAAAAAACTTACAAAATCTTCATAAATTTCTTTTATGCCAGAGAATGAAAGAGTAACGGTGAGTAAAAGAGGTGTGGCATAACGACTGGTAGCACTGATGCCGGGAATTTGCTAGAAAAAAAGAAAAATCAAGATGATTTTTAATAGAGCTCAAACCAGAATCATTTTTTACCTCTAAAGCTGTGACGGTCAGTAAATGCTGGAACTGTGCTATAAGTAGTACCTTCTAGCTTTATCTTTTCTTGTAATTACATAGAAAATGATATAATCAAACGAAAAAAATACGATTCATACGTCTAATAGAGATATAATGGCAAAATATGAAATACTGGTTTGTCGGAACTGGTAGAAAAAAAACCGTGGTAAGAACGAGAAGCAGCTATATTTGCTGGTGCTGAAAATATACTGGTTTTAGATTAACTCTAAAGTTTTCTTTCTAAAAAAAAAACGTGTTTAGCAGCTCTAAAAAATCTATTACCTTATACCATTAGAAGCAAATTTTTTATTAGGTTCTGAAGAGTTAACATAGATTTTTCTATTTTGTAAAGTCATTTGGCGCCTGAGACGTAATTTCTCCATATGAGTCTTCCAAAAGCAGTAGGTCAGTTGTGATGTCGTATTGAAATCTAAAGGCGTAAGCGGTCAACGACGTTGCTTTTTTTAATAGAAACTATTATTAGACACTAGTCTTATACAAACAGCTCTGCGGTAGCCGAAGTGTTTAACCTTATCATAAATTTTTTTCTGTGGCACAGATTTATTCAACTTCTAGTTTCTTCAAAAATTCCCATAAAGCTAAATTTACCTAGCGCAGCACTGCAATCAAGGACAGTTTTCCTTAGTTTTCTTTAAGCACAAAGTTTCTTTAAAGTCAGCCTTTGTGCACGCAGAAGAAAGCAGGCAAGAAAAATTTCAGATGCGCGGCCTTACAAATGCTAATTTTCATTTGACATACTTTTGACTTCTTTTGCAAAGAAGTTAAAAAGACGTTTTTGTAGATTCCTCATTAACTTTTTTTTATAATTAACTGGCCAATACATTCTTCAAGCCGAAAAAGTAGCTGCAGTTTGAGTTATGCTGCAAAATTTTAAAAATACTTGACTACATAAAATTCCAAACACTTTTTGCATGCAATAAATGCATTTCTGTGACATTACTTACAGAATACTAGAAAGATTTGCATAAAAAGAGAGAAGCAATAGAGAACGAATAAAAAATAAAAAAAAGTGCCTGCAAAATCATTATTGTGTAAATCTATGGCTGTTATTTTCTAAAAGCAAAAAAAACTTACATTTAAGACGATTATAACATAATAACAGCAAGAGAGTTCTGCTTTTAACGTGACAAGGAAGCGACAATCAGGAACAATAACTCTTGTTATTTCTGTAACTTTATCATTTTACTATAGCTAATAGTAATAGTGTTGTGTAGATTAAACTGTAGCTTTCAATACAATACGCCTATAACAACGTCGGTACTATGAAGAGGTCAAATATATTAATGGTCGTTTAGTGAGTCCCTAATAAGCAATACCTAAAAAATTACAAAGCTATTGTGAGTCTCCAACCGCAAACTCTTTGACTCGCAGCAAGATCTGTAAACTGTAGTAACCTATTTTTTCTATATATGTCCCTTTCAAAATATGACACATCTTCTGATACTTCTTGCAGATTTTTTCAGCGGCTTCAGACAGTAATGTACGACAAACAGTTTCACTTTTTAAACCATTTTACGCACTAAGATAAAGACTGCCACTTAGAAATAAGGTTTAAACCGTTATACCTTTAGAAAACCATATAATTATTCGACCGTTTACAAACAACTTTTTCTAGTTTAAGTGGCGTTCTATGTGCAGCGTTACAAAAAGTTATAATCGTTAAGAGAACAGCGAATATGTCGGTTTAAAAAAGTGATTACCAAATTATGTTACTTCTCACAGTGTTCACCAGTGAAAAGAATACAGCAGTAAAACACTTTTGCTATTGACTGTGATAAAGGTTATTTCTGTTGTTTGAAAAACCGAGAAAATTTAGATGAAAAAGCTTTAGTTTTTCCTTGTGGTCGACAAAATGAAGCGCAAATATAAACGCAAAATACAACGGTTGTGACATGCAGTGCTCAACTGAGGTATTTAAACGCTTCCATTTTGACATGTCGTGGCGTTACTGCGTTTCGAATTATAAAGTTCTTTACCGGTTTTATGCACGTATTAGTCATAACGAAAAAATAATGCTGCTGGGAGAAAAATTAGCATATAAAAGACGTAAATATAAGCAATCAAAGTTTTTTATTTTTTTACTTTTACGACTCTCTTATCAGTATTGCTTTCGGTGTTGATAATTTTGCATCAGTGACAAGTAAAAAAAAAATTATTTGTACTTTACTTTCACCAGTATACATTGCATAGGCTTAAAAAGCTGTGCTGTACAAAAACTGTGTAATTAACCTGCGGGAAGTCAACAGTTTCTTTGCTTAATTTTAAAAATAACTTTTTTGCTGTACATAATAGTTTATACAGTGGTTTTTGGATCAAACAGTCAGTTATTATTTTTCTATCAAAAGTTGTTATTGAATAAGCACAAACTACCACTTTTCTAATAATATGGTTATTCAACGATCCGAAAAATGGGAGAAAACTAGTAATAGCTCACAAGAATTTTTAATGGAACACACTAAATGCCATACATGACTGCCTGACAGCGATACCAGAAAGAAGAATATTTGAAGAGTAGGGTTTTAAACTAAGTTTCACAAACACATTACCAAGTAGCGTAGACACACCACTTATAACAATTCAGAATGCTAAACGTTAGAATTTTTATGGTTTTGTTATCTTTGTGTCGCTCTAGAGCTTATTAGTGCAACTTCCACTGAAGCATACTTCGTCTGTGATTTTGGTTTAAGTTGTTCGAAACTAGGGAAAAAAGTGATGACGAGAAATGCCAGTCAAAGCCGTAAAAAAAGGGGCATCTGAAAAACCCTCATGATACCAACCTGGAATTTTTGCAAATTGAAAGAAACTAGAGCTCTTTTTAGACTTCTATAGTACAGCATTATCTATAAAATGCGGCTTTAACTTTGACAATGAAGATAAGTCTAGAGTGAGACTTTTTAATAGATCGGCATCTTCTCTATTTCAGTATAAACAAATGCTATGCCACTACTTTCAGATTACGCAATTAAAGTTTAATCATTACAACGTTTATATGGCGATATCCATTTATAAATTAGCTGATTAAACAACGGTTTCTTTCTCAGTTTTTACAAAATATAATACTGAAATTTTTTTTTGTCTACTTTACATTCTAAAATTGAAATTTTAGGAAATCCTTAGCAGTAAGAAGAACTTGTTATTTTTCAACGATACCGATTTAGCTCGCGTACTCCACTACCCGCTGGACTGATTTAAGAACAGTAATGCTTACAGATTAAAACCAATCATTGCTTTTGATAATTCACACTAAAAACGCAAGCACCATATATGATTGAAATGGCGGCGTAGAACTAGAGTACGTTTCAACATATTTACCAATAATAATGCCCGTTCAAGATCGTTACGCCAAATAATGCGGAAAAGTAAGCAGTTCAAAGATAAAATACCAAAAAATCGTGTAGTTTCGCAAGGGATTCTGCTTGATTGATTAGAAATTTTTGTCTATACAGTTACGAATCGAATAAAATAGATTAGTTGCTATTTCTTAATTGCTACTCTGCTGAAATAAGCAAATTTATGTATACACATCTAAAAATGAAAATTTCCTTTCAGTAAGAAAGACTGTTAGATATATAAAGCTACTAGACGTTCTTTCCTTTTTCATCTGCTCGAAAACTAACCAACTGAGAACGTCAAACTTTTTATTAATTGGCAATGCAGCTCTGTGGTACAGTTGTGATTATCACAGCGAGCAAAGAACTTATCGACATTTTACAGATCCTTGGTAGTTCTCTAAACGGTAGAATTAATTAAAAACATTGCTGTATCCATAAGACAAAAACTATTTTATAATCATTTCAGTCTTCACAAACTCAGGAAGTAAAATTTGATCGTTATTATTAGAGACTAGACTTGTAAAATACAAAGCATATCATATCTTAAAACAAATCGCTTTCTTCAGTACACAGCCGCGTTAAAAAACAAATCACATGACTTCTATACAGTGCTCTTTTTTTCAACAACATCGTCACTAGAAGTATCCTGGACAGTTTAGTTGTAGAGGTACGATAAACTGCTGTTCAGTTACAGAGTTAAACGTCTTGTAGTAAAGTTTTCTCCTTAATTCAAAAAATCCATCTTGATCCAAAAATAAATAAATAAAATAAAACGTCTGAAATTTAGATTCGTTTTTAAGTATCTATTAGTTTATAAGCGATAACAATAATGCAAT